AAACCAATAAAACCACCACTGCCACCACCAAAAAACCAACCAAACCCCCCAAACAAACAAACAGCCAAAAAAGCCCCCAAACAAATAACAAGAACAAACATAAACCACAAAAAAACCCAACCAAACCAGGGGGAAGAATAATTGGGACAAATGGCCTTATTCATCAGCAGTGTGCTTTTCTTCTCTCCCATTTCATTTTGATATCCTGCTCCACAACCTCTCCCCTTTAAAGCAGGAACCAAATTCATTCTCACAAGCACTGACAAGTAAGAGGAGACAACAGTCTGCAGCCAGGCTAGGACATCATCTCCAGGACTCAGTGTCCCCATAAAAATCTCACAGTCTGTTTACATTAGTGGTTCCTATTTTTTCCACCAGAACTCTGATCTGCATGGCCAGGACAGTCTCTGAATAAGAACATTATGCTCTAACTTCTGCTGGTGGCTGGAACAGATGGCCAGAGGACGAGGGTTTGCCTCTGGTTATTTCCTTCTTGCACCTTTTCAGATGCATCCCCAGCAGCAGCACACAACACACAGCAGCAGACACATGCTCCAAGAACTGCCTTCATTAATTCAAGCTGCAGCGCTAAACGTTACTAAAGTAAAATGCAGAGTTTGTAACAACAGCCAATGTTGTTCTCAAATCCACAGTGGGAACAGATTTCCTGCTCTATACATAAATATATGCTTTTTAGCATCTGATTCCAAGCCAGCACTGCACAGCCCTCTTTTGATGTCAATCCCTGACAACCCTTGTGAGAGCTTGCTTGTGTAAAGACTGCAAGAACCATTTCAGCATCAAGACCTTTAACCAATGCAGAGAATCAATCTAGGCAGATAAAGTAAAGCCTTTTCAATGTATAAACCACAGCCCAAAAATGAATGAGGTTTGGATAAAGTTGGCCTATTTCCTTGTTTTCAGATGTTTCTGTTTGTCTTGGAACTTTCCTGACACTCAGGTAAGGGGAGAACAAGAATCCAAAGAGAAAGAAAGCAAGACCAAAGGTTTTCCCTAGGAGATTGATATCAATAGGTTTTTCATAGTTGTGTGATCTACAAGCCATCTTCAAATTATTCTGTGCTATGGAATCCAGCATGCATTTGAGCAGTAGTCTTGAGGTTTATTTATCACTGCTTTTGTAAAGAAAAAAAATAAAAAATCAGACAACCTTCTTTTCCCAAATATCTCTTAAGAATTACCAAAGAAATACAGCTTTTTAGTGAAAAGCTCCGGATGCTTTTTGAAAAGTTTCTTTTCAGTCACTGTTTTGAGGACAACCTCTCACAGGTGATACAGTCACACCTGACCCACTTTTTACAGTCTGTGCTAATTCTCAGCACTGCAAGACGTAGAATTCACATCCTGTGACATCCAGCATTATTACTGCAGTTCAATAGCTGTATTCACGGCAATCTCAGGACAAAATGAGAATCATTACACTGAACATGTAGGAATATTTCATTCATAAGTAATGCTTCAAGGAAAAGGAAGGAACCTTGCAAAATCTGAGCCTCTACTGCAAAATTACTAATTGTAATGTGAAATAAAAATGTCCTAGGGCAGGATAATTACTGCTCTAGTGCTGCATTTTGCAAGGCATACTCTGGACACAGAAATGCCCACTGCCTCCCCGTGAAGCTGAACTCATCATGGCTCACAAAGAGCTTTTTTAGAGAGATTTCAAATCACCTGAAAATACCTTCAAGGGGTACTTTGTAATGTTTTGCTCAATGCCAGCAAAAAGACTCCAAAGCCAAGCCAGGGCTCCAGTGGCACAGGTCACCACCCTGTCCCCAGAGGCCACAAACCAGGGGCAAATAAACCACAATGCCAGCAGTCTCCAGCTCAGGCAATGCTTCTAAATATGTTTCATTAACCCGCAGCACTCATGGGTGTGGTCACTTTATTTTAGGCCTCTCCTCTGAAAATAAAAACCTAATTCTGCTGCTTTTGAAGGAAAAAATAAGTAAAAAATTATATTGCCAAATTGTAAACTTATACATACATTATCTCTGCAAAGCAAACAACACTACTGAGGAGAAAGGAAAGATTCTGATCTGACACTTAAAAATACAGTAAACATCTGAAATCTGTGCAGTTGCTTAGACACCAACATGACTAAGACCCAAGTGAGACACAAATAAACAACACTGGTATTTGGCTTGTTTTAATAAAACTTTTGTTCTTGTTATACAGTACACAGGTAGGCACTAAAATGTGCCTTTTTATCCTTCAATTAAATTAATTTCTACTACTAATGTACCTATCTGCATATGTGAAACAATCCAGAGCAATCTTCATCAGAATTCTACCAGAAAAGATGGTATGGTGAAATACAACACTGAGCCATGCAAACAGCTTTATTAAATAAAGGATCATAATTTTAGGACCTGCAAAATCTATTTCCTGCTTTCAAGTGGAACACACTGGCATCTTCACAGTTTCCTAACTCCAAACATTTATTTTTAAAAAGGGAAACTTCACACAGAGATTAACTGAGGTCTCCCGAAACATAATTGGGAGAAACATAATTTGCTTGACGAACCTTGAAGTACAAGAAATAAAATACTGGAGCACATATTGTTCAGGACAAATGTACAGACTTTGGCCATGCACTTGAATTAATGGTTTCTGAAACCAGCCTTCTGGAAGTTAAAAAAACCTCATCTAGTTCTTGCACTGCCCTTTTCCAAAATGCACATCTCCAGAAATTGGGGACCCATTAAGAGGTGCCTGGGCTCTGACAGATCCCTGGTCTCCCTTTTTCCTTCAGTCACTCCCCACAGTGGGAAGTTTCCTGCCCGTGCAGCCCACAGCTGTGGCACCACACACGGAAATCTTGCATCAAGAGAAGCTGCCATCCCTGGCAAAAGGCTGAGAGTAAGAACAGCACTGATAATGAGGATTGTGACAGATCCCCGTGGGAAGCAGAGCTGGAGCCCACTGCCAGCACACACCCCGTGTCTGCCCCTCAGCAAACATCACAGGGAAAAAGCCAGAGTAACCCACTTACCTTACAAGCAGCAACACTCACAAGCTAAAGAGCTACTAACAAAAACACAGAATGACACTAAATACAAGGGATTCATCTCAGCAATGCTAAAGGGAGAAAAAATGGAAAACAGAATATTGTAAAAGGAAAAATAAGTTTCAAAATAAATATTTCAAGATTTAAACTAATAGTAGGAAAGCCCATAAATCATCTTTGCAATCGCTCCCGTTCCAAACATCCATCTGCTCCAAATATATGCCTATTACCAGGTCTTCAGCATACATTATGGGATAAAGAGGACTGCTGAAATCTAATTTACTTCTGCAGGGAAGAGACGCCAGAGAAAGGGTTAGAGGGGTAGCATAAAATCCTGTAGAGGCTTGAATTTTTCTGTGAGGCTAACTATAGCTCTGCACAGTGTGATTTTGTATAAAATGACATGTAACACCAAGGCAAGGCAGCCAAACCAAAGGTTACCTTCCTCTCAATTTCTGTCTCCCTGCTTGGGGCCAGGAACCCAAGGATTTAAAACAATGGAGGGAAGAGAGGCAAGCCTGAAAATCATAAAAATATTATACAGTACAATACCAATACTGGTACTAACAAAAAATGTGGCTGGACAGGTTTTCCTGAAAGAAAAAGTAGTTCCTGTGATTTCTGATCTATTTCAGGTAGCAAATAATGAAAAGGAGTGACACGTCTGTAGAGCACAGTGCAAAGTGTTGGTGAGCGAGCTCGTCGTGGTGAGACAGGCTCTGAGGAGCTGCTGCTGCTGCTTGTGACTCTGCTCTGCAGCCACTGCCGACAGCCAGGCACTAGCACAAAGCCCAAAGCCACTGCTTTCCCACCAGACTGCTGCTCTCCTTTTATGTCTGTTTTGTGGCCAGTTTATCAATGTCCAGAGACCTCAGGCCCTGCAGCTACTCAGGTTCTTTGAGCTCCCATTTGAAAGGTGCAGCAGTGGATTCATACAATTGCAGCCAAGGCCACCAGTCAAAGCTGCATTTCAATGTTGTGCTCTTTCCTATCAAATTGCCAGGTGCTGCATGAGGGAGAGGACAAAACTTAACACCAACTTGTTGAGTTTTGTGTGTACTTTAAAGAGCCAGGATTGTGGATTTTCCTTCATTCATTCATTGTCTGCAGAAGAAGATAGGATGTGCATAGCCCGGGGTGGGGAACCTATTTACTTGCTTCCCAGTAAGTTTCTTGTCTACAAATCTGAGACCCATCAGCAGCAAGTCACAGGATTTAGCTACAGGGATACAGCCAGACAGCAGCAGTTGTGATGGCAAGGATAAGAGAAGCCCTTAGTTCAGCTTTTTCCTTCAACACAACCAATCCAGATTCTCCTTGTATTTCAGCACTTCAGAACTAACCCCCCAGCATAGAAAAAAGAATTTTTCTTTAAGTTCAGCACTCTGTGCTTACTAAAATTTCATCCCTAAAGTTGCTGGAAAATAAGACTTGTAAAGAGTGCATAGCATGGGCTCTGACAAACACCCTGACAAGCACTGAACCATCAGGGATGGGCAGTGCAATCCTCCAGGGCATGGAGAGCAACACGTGAGCACGGCAGAGAAGCAGCAAGGTAAGGGCTGCTCATCAGGAGAGGAGAGCTGGAAATCTAAAGGAGAAGCCAAAGAACCACAGAAAGACATTTTATACAAAACAGAGAGTACACACGTGGAACCATACAGTGGAAAAAAAGCACCTGAGCTTGAAAACACTCCAAAGCGCTAAGAGTAAAACTTGCTAGGTCTGATCTATTGTTCCATTCAAAGCTCTGCCCAGCAGACACCTCAAACATCCTGTCTTTTGTACACACTCTTAACAATTCCCACGTGTGCAGAGCTCCAGCCAACCCAGCAGAGTGTGGGATGGAGAAGGGAGAAAGCACACAGGTAAGGTTTGAAAGGACAAAAGGATGAGCAAGAGCCAGAATTCAAGGTTTGTGTTTCAGAGGCAGCCTGGGGCAGGGAGGGGAAGAAGCAGGATCTCTCACCGTTGTTGCTGTTGTCATCCACCAGGATGATCTCCTTGAGCAGGTGGGCAGGAGTGCGGTTGATGGCAGAGTGGATGGAGCGCAGGATCACCGAGAGCGCCTCGTTAACGAAGATGAACACGATGCTCACCTCGGGAAGGCTCTCGGGAAACGTCAGGTTTCTGCACCTGGAGGGGAGGTTGAGGGAAAGATGTAAATTGTTGGCAGCCACAATGCAAACAAAATCCACCCCCAGCTGTAAGAACACATTGGAAGATACAGCTCCAGAGAACATCCTGCTACTAAAGCAAAGCCAGGTGGTGCAGCCACAAAAACCACATACAACAGCGGAAAACTTCCCTGTAAGCACAGCCATGGGGGCCAATCAGAAAGGGGAATACTCTCCTAACCTTTCTCACAAATAGAAACTTCAGCCACATTCCAACATGCTTCTGGAAATGGCAGTATGGAAGTGCTGCCCACAACTTTAAAGCTCCTTAGTGCTTTATTGGTTGTTTTTTTTAACCTTCTTTCCAAAGAGGATTCAAATCTTTCAATTATATGAGTAGGAAGGTCTTTTACCACTTCACCTTTTTAAACTGTCAGCAAAATATTTGCTTTTGAAATAAAGCCACAATGTAATTGAGTAAGTGGATTTAACTATTTTTCTGTGAAACATTTAGTATTTTAATGAAATGTTTCTGAACAAGAATTAATTCTACCTTTTTCTAAGATCTGAAACTATTTACTAGGATGAAATTAGGTACAGTCTGACTCTGGCAGGATTTTTAGATAGACTTTGTAGATGGAAATGATGGATGTTAATGCTTTTCTCTACCTCCTACAACACTGAGTGGCTCTCCAGGTGCCAGGAACCCCTGAAAACTGTGGAAAGCACAACTAACAGGCAAGCTTTTGCATACAGAAAGCATTGGCAGATTCAGTACTTTTACATCATGCTTGAATCTGACTCCTTAACTAAATCTCTTCTTCAGTTCAAGGAGAAAAATTATTTTAGGGTTTTGTATTTTAATTTATGTAGCAAATAAATACAGAGAAGTATCACAAAAGCATTCCTCTTCATGTGCTGGATATTGTACAAAAATTAAGTTCAATCAAGGTAATTAATTTACTTCTGTGCTTTTACAGGTTCTGAAAACAATCAGGGCATAGGACACACAACACCCAAACCAACTGAGACAGCACAGCATAATATTCAAAATTCAGCTGGTCAACCAATTTTCTAAATTCAGTCCTTGGTTTGAAATTGATGGAAATCACATTAAAGAAGCTATTTTATATTTTAGGTACTTTTCTCTCTGTCACCATGCAGAAGAATTAGAAGGAAATATAAACCAGAAAACACTCTGGAAAATCAAGGTACGGTTCAAGTCTTAAAAAGTGTACAGTATATTTTTTAATAACCTGGTTCATATTCCCTTTAGAAACAAATATGAAACCTCATTGTCACAGAGCTCCACAGCTTTTTCCTCCATGGCATCAATACCAGAGGGAAATAATTAAAATGGTGTTTGGATTTACTGATTCCCACTTGTGGCTTGATCTTCTGCAATGCAACAACCCAAAACTTTCTGTCCCATATGTCATGGGGTGACTTTGTGATGCTCCTTTGTATTTCTACTGCAGTGTTAATCCTCTATTCATCGGTAAGAGAGCTTTCAGCATCCATTTTATGCAAAATAAAGCACTGCAATAAGAGGCAAGGGGAGCTGCCTTTTGCTGCAGAAGACCATTAGTGCAAGGCAGCAGTGTTTTTCTCTTTAACTCCAGCAGTGCAGGAGTTAAAACCTTCAGCCAGGACAGAGGGAGCTGAGTTCCATCCTCCCTGATCTCCCCAGAGAGCCAACTCCCAGCCAGCTCGCTGTGATTATTTTCAGTCCCCCTTCTCAGGGTCATTCCACTTTCTGTGGAGCAATTAAACTGAGCTGGAGTGATACCAAGGCTCTCTAACCAAGGCTCTCTAACCAGTGTTTCTTTGGAGGAAGGACCTGCAGCACGTCTCCAACTGGATGTTCGTGCATTTTAAACCCTAAACTCCACTCTTCATGGCTATGTCCACTTTTCTAGATTGTAATGCCACAAAAATTCTTGAAATCACTTTTTTTTTTCTTTCTTTTGCAAGGTAATATTTATTTTTTCAATTTTACTCGTGACAATTTGGCAGAAGAAACAAAGGCATTTTCACAGAGCCTGCAAGTCAGGTGTCAGGGCAATTTTCTGGGATACAATTAGAGAATGGGTGTTGGGAAGCCCTCCTGTCCAGCCCCTTGCTCAAGCAGAGTCCCCTAGAGCCAGATGTGCAGGAACAGCATTTTCCCTCTCCAGACAGGGTTGGGATGCCTCCAGTGGTGGGGACTCTACAAGCTGTGCTTCAGTTTGTGCCCACTGCCTCTGGTCCTGCCACGTGGCAGTGCTGACAAGAGCCTGGCTCTGCCCTCAGATATTTGCCTTGATGCCATCCCCTCTAAGCTTCCCCTTCCCCAGGTGAAACAGTCCCAGCTCTAGAGACACACTCTGCTTTCACAGTTTCTTCAGGAGAAAAGAGCATTTCCACACCTGCCTCCTGTACCCTGGAGTATTTTAACCTCTGAAATTGCTCCTTAAACAAAGATCACCTCTGGTGCCGAACAATCTCTGAAAGCCCACATAACTGAGGAGTTGGCAGCAGGCATAGATTTACTTGGGCTGAGCACTGTCAAACCTGGAATCTTTGACAAATGTGAGTTTTAGGGACCATTAGGTTTAAGTGGCATCTGACAAAAGGATTTCTAGTGTGTGTATTTCAGGCTCAGAGTGACTGGGAGGCCTCTGTACTTATAATCACATTAGAATTCTGAAATACTGGCACTCAGTTTATTCCAAAAGATGCTAAAACCATTACAGATCCAGGTCCTTGAAGAACCATTACAGATCCAGGTCCTTGAAGAACAGACCTGTTCATGCCAAATGGTGTGTATGCATCCAAGTTTTGAAAATTTGTCTTCAAATAGACAATGAACTAGTTAACAGGTTTAAGCCTACAAAAATAATCTTCAGTATTACCCTTTAAAGAAGCTACAATGCTCATTATTTTAGTGATGTGCTTGCAGCCAAAATGAAGAGATATAAAATGGTCCAGCAAACAAATCTACAGCAAATCTATCTTTTAGCTGACAGCCTTAGGCATGGTAATATTTGCTATCTTCAGCCATAACAATGTGCAAAGAAGATAAAATGAAATTCTAGCAAAAAATGAAACTCTATCTCGTAAGATATGGCACCCATTAAATTAAGGAAAACTTCAAGGGATTTTTGAAAATACTTTGAATGGCAATAAAAATATAGTGAAAATAGTTCAAAGAAGTTGTTTCCTCAAACATGGGCGGTTTTTTCTCCTCTGTCAATTAAGCTGAGCTTGAGAGAAATATAAAATAGCATTGCAAGGAACTAGTGACAAATTCCAGACAATTCCAAAAAAGGTTCCAGATGACAAAACAGCCCCCAATACACTGCTGCCCTGCCATAGCTGCATGCATAACCTGAAATGCTCAGAGAGAAGTTCTGCTTCTGATGAGTCTTCCATCCATTTAAAATAAACTATCTGTATTGGTTTTCCCACCCACATTCATTTACATCTCACATATTTGCAATTTTTATCACTCCGCAAAGAATTTTTCATTGCTGGCAACTTGTACAGACAAGAGCAAAGCTTTTAATCCTGTGGATGTAACTTGATTCCCTTTTTGCATCACCATGCCTTTAAAGATAACTACAGATGAAAGGAGAGAATAGAATTAGACTCCTGTTTTGTCCAACTTCTTTAGTCTTTTCAAGAAGACTAATTTTCAATGAGGTTACATTCCTGAGCTGAGTTCATGTTTTCTTTTCCATTCAGACTCATTATCTTTATTTCCAGCTCAAACTAACTTGTTTTTCAGTGTGTCTGTAGTATTTAAAAAAACTTTTTCCTCTCTACATTGTTTTTCACATCAGCTGATGACAATGAAAATTACCTACTTTTTTTTCTTATTTAATCAAATCAGAATCAGCCCCAGATCCTGCACATAATGCAGAGCCCTTGTGCCTTTTCACGTCTATCATTGTCCTTACACCAAGTGTTGTGAGGAATCAAACTCCACAGAGATGGGAATGAACAAGGAATGGCTCCAGAGGGATGTGTGTAACCCCAGAGTAATGGGAATGAACAAGGAATGGCTCCAGAGTGGTGTGTGTAACCCCAGAGTGATGGGAATGAACAAGGAATGGCTCCAGAGGGGTGTGTGTAACCCCAGAGTGATGGGAATGAACAAGGAACGGCTCCAGAGGGATGTGTGTAACTCCAGAGTGATGGGAATGAACAAGGAATGGCTCCAGAGTGGTGTGTGTAACCCCAGAGCGATGGGAATGAATGAGGAATGGCTCCAGAGGGGTGTGTGTAACCCCAGAGTGATGGGAATGAACAAGGAATGGCTCCAGAGGGGTGTGTGTAACCCCAGAGTGATGGGAATGAATGAGGAATGGCTCCAGACAGGGGTCTGAGTGTCCAAGGCCAAGATGGAGAGGGAGCGCTGGGATGGGAAGCCCAGCCCCACGATGCTCGGAGAAGGGAGGGGTTGCCTGGCAACCACGAGATGCGGAGCAATGGCCAAGGGTCCATCCCGGCCGGACCTGCTCCTCTCGCCCCAAACCAACAATCCACAGGAATTTCCCCCAATTTCCCCAGCAGCATTTAGAGCCGTGACAGCGAGCATCGCTCCAGCAAAGGCAGAGCCTGCGGCGAGCGCCCCGCTCCGCTCAATTACACCGGGCTAATAGCGCTAAAGTACAGGTTGCCATGGTTACAGAAATTTACACAAACTCCTGGTTTCTATTTCAAGCACAGCTCTGGGAAATGGAGGGCAGCATACATTATCAGGCTTCTTTCAAATATTTGTCCACAAGAAAGACAACTCTGTTCCTCTATGCATTGTGATAATTCCATTTAGCCAGTCATTAGCCTTAAAAATTAGTTTAGTATAACTATGCATGAAAGCAGCAAACAAAAAAATTATTTCCTGTGTTAATAACTTATCTCTCAGACCTTCTACAAATATGTATATAAATTACGAGCAGAAATTATTTTCTGCAAACTTTGAAAAACTTTCGCCAAGACTATCATATCAAACAATAATAGCAAAAACCCCATGTT